ACCTGAGCCGAAGGCAGACGCTTCTTAACAACTGAGCCACCCAGGCGCCCTATTTTTTAAGATTTTATTTCTTAAGAGAGACAGCATGCGTGCATGTGCGGGCATGAGGTGGGGGGGTAGAGGGAAAGAGAGAATCTCCAGCAGACTCCTTGCTGAGCATGGAACCTGACGCAGGGCTCAATCTTACAACCCGAAGATCATGACTTGAGCAGAAACCAAGAGTAAGACACTCAACTGACTGAGCCACCCAGGTGCCCCTACTTGATAATTGTATTAAAGGGCCCACTTTGCTATAATCAAAGCACCTATGACCAGTGACACAAGTGTAAAAAGTTGGATATAAATGACTAAAATTTGTATTTATTATAAACAAGAGTTTTGAATTAAAATAGCAACTTCTGAACATGAAGTAAAATAAATTTCAAAGATTCAGGATTTAGTTTTTCATAAAAACACCTCAACTCATCTTAATTAAATGACATAGTAAAAGGTTTAGTGTCAACACTAATGATGTGTTAGAAATAAGACAAAATGTGGCTCTAGATAACATCTAATCACAGTATTTTATCAGTTAGATCCATTCTAATACTAGGGTAGAGTGAAACTTAGCATTCTGCAGATGGGATCATACCCTCAAAATTCTTCACACAAAATATTTAAAAAAAAAAACAACCCAAATCAAACAATCAACCAATCAGATAACAATAAGAATACTAGTAAGTTTAGGACTTCTCTATGTAACAGCCCAGTGAATTTTGCTAATTCTGCCTAGAGTCGTATTTTGGACAAATTACTCATGAGTTGCTTATCATTATGTTAGACTGATAACAGATTTAAAGGCTGTAAGACAATTACTTTATTACAAAAAGTAAGAAATTAAAGATTAGGTTTTACAAAGTCAAGAGTCATAAAATTTAAGCTACATTATTAAAAATACCCACAAATTTACTTGTTTTAAGTTTCACTTAGATATATTAAGATTAGCAAACGGAATGATTTATAAATTCCTTTTGCAAAAAAATGAGAGGACACATTTTTTTTAAAGCTTTTATTTATTTATTTGAGAGAGAGCAAGTGAGCACAAGCGGGGTGGTGGCAGGGAGAGGGGGCAATGGGCAAAGGGAGGAGGAGAAGCAGACTCTCCAGTGAGCAGGGAGCCCAATGTGGGGCTCAATCCCAGGACCCTGAGATTATGACCTGAGCTGAAGGCAGCCCCTTAACCAACTGAGCCACCCAGGCACCCCAACTGACATATCTTTAGATCTTTTCAAGACAGACCTATGTTAATGAAGCATTTTATGGAATCTAAAAAATTTATAATCTTTTTTTCTAAAAATTTGAATTTTAATAGTTCTCCAAAAGAAACTGCATTAAGTGTATTACCTGTAGAAAAATAGTTCATCCACCGGTATTTGGCTTTCTTCTTTTGCAAGGAACTCCTTACTGTTCACTAAGAAAATAGATTAAGAAAATACTTTTATTAAAGTAATCCTTTTTATGTTATTCAAGCTCGTAAGACTACATACAGCATACCTATAATTCTAAAGTCTTAAAATGTAAGGAATGTGGACAGAAGGGATCTTCTAGTGCAAAGGACAATCTCTGGGAAAGTCTGAGTGCAGAAGACTAAACATTTGAAACTGTTCATTGGCTACAATGACATACGTAGCCATGAGTGCATGCATCACAGTGAAAGAACATGGTTTTCATTGTCCTCCAACTGTATCCAGGACCCCAATTTTAAGAGAAAGAGTTCTCTTAATAATCACTTTAAACTTTTCACCATCTTGGGAAAAAAGCAGTAACTCCTGCCATTCTGGAACAGGAAGTAAAGTTAAACAGAATTATCCACAATTTTACTTAATACTGATGAAAATTAAGGAACAAGACCAACGAACTACAAGAATATTAGTTTTCTCTCTTCACAATAAAAATTTCTAACTCATCTTGATTAAAACTGGATTTGGCTTCTAAGTTCTAACTCTTATTAACTTTGGGGGAGTCCATTTACATCTCTGGACCTCTGTGAAATAAATCAGTTGGAAATTAAATGATTAATAAAGTACAAATTAAGCCTAGTCTCTGAATGAAAAGGAGCTGTGATTTATTATATAAAGAAATGTTTGCTCTGAATATAGAAACAAGAGTCAGATATACAAGATGGGTACACAGTACCCATAAAAAGTTATCAACTAATTTAAAATGATGCTCTGTGACAAAAACTAGTTGTGGGTTTTCTGCTGAACCCATATTAGAGAGCTTAAGATGGTCTTTAACTATAGGGGTGTCTGGGTGGCTCAGTTGGTTGAGCATCTGACTGTTGGGTTTCGGCTCAGGTTGTGATCTCAGGATCGTGGGATCAAGCCCTTCATCAGGCTCCCTGCTCAGCAGGGAATCTGCTTGAGATTCTCTCCCTCTGCCCCTCCCCCTGCTCACACACTCTCCCTCTCAAAAAAAAAAAAAAAGATGGTCTTTAACTGTAAAAGATAGTAATATATATGGGGGGGTCACTAATAGAGCTATAGATGATACAAAAATGGCAAAATGTTGCTAATTGTTGAAGCTGGGTTATACTTACAGGGGAGTTGTTATACTATCTGTATATTTATTTTGGATATGTTTGAAATTTTCTGTAATACAGTTAAAAAAATAAAAGACCCAGTAAGACATAGTAAACTTAAGAATGCATACACATTTTTGGGAACAAAAGATGGATAATGTCTCTGGTGCTTAGGTTTATTCTGGTAAAATGGAGCAAAGAATAATATAATTTATGTTATTGACTTGTACTATTCTTGTCAGTTTCAACCGTCTAGGCTTTATACTTACCAGGAAGACTACGAATATCCTTCATAAAATGTTTTCTTTTTGGCTGCATCACAATGCTATCTGTGTTTTCTGAAATGTAAAAATCAAGATAGTGTAATATAAAACCTAGTTGTATGCTTATTAAATGTCAACAGTGAAAACCAAATACTTAAATAGAAGCATACCTTTGCCTTTATGTGGCTTTGGATTTCTGTATACAAATCGATCTAAGAATCTCATTAATGTGAAATCTTGGAGTGGGTCCCCTGAATACTGAATACAGTTTCCCTGAAAGGTGGAGGGGGTGGGAGGATTAAGAACTTAACGCAAATTATATATATGCATCCAGATAAGAAAACAAACAAAACATCATCTACTACAATGCATCAAAGGCACATATATGCCATAAATGACCCTTCAAATATCCATCTCATCCCTCTTTACTTGAAGATTTAAACAGTCATACACATAAATACATATTTTATGATACACTGTTGATTTTATGAATAGGTAAACAATACTAATACTGTAGGTCATCTATTAACCAGGAACCAAACACTGATGTGGCCAACACAGCAAATGGGAAAGGGGAGAGCAGTCTTTCTTCAGGAGAAAAACCAGAATGTAATAAATAACTGTTGCAGTTTTCTAATATCCTGTATTTCTATTCACCACACAGTGGGAAGAATTACTTGCTGTACTGTATTAAACAAGTCATTGGTCCTTTCCAACAGCAGAACATGTTTATGATTCTATGTTGTGGACAGAAAACACTGTTATGACCAATTACTCATTATCTAAAACTAGATTACTTTTTCTTATTTCTTGACTTTAGAATATTAGACTTACCTCAAGGATAGTCTTTGCAAAAAGGGCCACAGAGGGATGAAAATGCTCAGAAAGCTTAAAAAAAAAAAAGGTGAGGAAAGTCATCTCTTACTACAGTTGTAGATCCAAAGAATTGAAACTTAAGCCAATACATCAGAGAAGAGTGATTCTCAAAATTTTGGTCTCAGGACTGTTTTATACATTTAAAAGTCAAGGACTTCAAGAGCTTCCTTAGTTTAAGTGGGATATATCTATTGATATTTACCTTATTAGAAATTACAACAGAAATTTTAAGTTTTTATTTAAGTAATCTCTACACCTACCATGGGGCTTAAACTCATGACCGCATGGGCAAGAGTTGCATGCTCTTCCGACTGAGCCAGCCAGGCGCCCACAATAGGAAATTCTGAAACATTTATAGTCAATTTAAAATAACAATGAGCCTATTATATATTAATATAAATGTTTTATGAAAAGTAACTTTTTCAGAACAAATAAGCATTAGTGAAGAGTAGGATTATTTCAGTTTTGTAAATCTATTTAATGTCTGGCTTAATAGAAGACAGTGGATTCTCATATGTGCTTCTGTATTCCATGTCATTTTTTAGTTGGAAGTATATGAAGACAATCTTGCCTCACACAGATATATAGTTGGAAATAGGAGGGTTAACTGATAACCTTTCACATAATTGTGGATTATCTTTGATACTACACCCAAACTGAAGATTAGTTGCAATATGGAATTTGAAACCGTATCAATCAGCTTTTGGTACTTGCTACTTAAAATTAATCAGTCTACTTTGAATAGATCTTTTAACCATGACTTTGTAACACTGTGCATTTAGTCATTTGGAAAATACTGATTCAGTAAGTTATGTAGTTCTTCCATATGTTGGTTACATTATCACAAAAATCATTGTTAGTATCACCACTGATTTTATCAGAAAAGTTTTTACATATTGAGAAAGTGTCCAGTTCAAGGTAGTGTTTACAAGATTTCCAAGCTTTTAATTTGGTTAAAAACTTGAATTTTATCACTGACAGCAAATATTGTCAGCGGTTTTGCTTGAAATAACAGATTCACTTCATTCACTCAAGAAAATGTCTCCCAAATACCAAATCTGAATAACCAGTCTATCAACCAGTCTTTTATGAAAAAGGCAGCCGAGTTTACAACAAACTACACAGGTACTTTTCCCAAGACACGAGACAACCTCATACTTAGCTATGCAGCAGAAGTATGTTATGAATTCCTTCTGTATATGTACACAGACTATGAAAAAGACATGTACTTTAGGATCAAGATAATCACTGATTTTTCCTGTTTCATCATTTTTATGTGATACTGGCTTTTTTCCCTGAAGGTCCATGGCGGTGAAGAATATAATGGCTCCTACCCTTATCTGCGCTGAGGCGCTAGCAGTTTTAGCCAGCATTTCTTTAGTATCATCAGTGCCACTGTTAACAGAGTGACAAAGGCAAATAACGTGCCTTGGTAGCACTACGAAAGGAGCTGTGACCTTGTAGACTCACTGAAAAGGTGTCGAGGGGCCCACAGGAGTCTGTGAGGTAAGACACTTACTTGCTTTTCCAAAGATACCATAGAAAGTTTACTGGGAATATGGGTTCCTCTAATGCATTTAAAAAGTTATTTTATTTGCAAATAGTTCTATCATCACAAAACTTCTCAGGGAGATCTAATGCATAAAGCAAAATTTACCCATTTTACAGAGCCATTATATGCAGTAATTTACCTACAAAAAGCAAAATTTATTTATAGCCATGTATAACATCCTGATTTTGCATCCACATTTAAGATTTGCTACATGTGAATGTAGAAATGTATAAATGTGTAAATTTAATGTTTATCAGAGGCTACAGAAATACAGGTTATAAAGCATTATAGCTGGCTGGGTGACATGCTTCAAATTGCTCCCTTATGCCAATTAACTAATGTCTAAACTAAACTATATTGATCATTTACGAGCCAAATGGAAACTTCAAGCTGTTAAATCCATGAGGGCAAATATGAAGCACTAATAAAATTACTTTACCTTTTTGAGTTCCCAAAGACTTGTATTTTCAGCTCCACAGTACAAAGGGTTTCTACTGAATGGATCGTATGTGTTTAACTGTTTGCCACCTGAGAACAACAACAAAAAAACTAATTCTCAAATGCTTTATTCCTAGCCCAAGAGTTCACTAAAACCACCACCATTAATGTTGTCACCAATAACTGTAATATGTATGCATACGTAATAGAATTGTAATTTTCAACATTCTTAGTTAGCCAGGTATCCATCCTACCTAGATTAAACATCCCAAGCCCCAACAAGAATTAGATATGGTACCCAGGATAGCATTTGCTACTGAATAAACCAGGCAGCAAAAGGTGCCCAAATCTGGGTCGACTGGGTTAGAAGGGTTAAAATGGCAACTAGCCTGAAGATTAAATCGGTCTAAATTCTTTTGGAACTTTAAGTGCACTGAATATTTGTTATTAAATTATGTCCAGGAATAATTCTCACTTGGAACAAGTTTTATGTTATCTTCAAAGAACTTTCAGAACACATTACAACAAACTGTCTACTTCACAATGCATATGTTCATCGTCCTTCTAAAGGATTATTCTCAGTTTAGCCTTCAGGGAAATTGATGGATTCTTTTAAACACTTTCCTGGTTGCTTCCACACTTCTCTTTTATACTTCACAGGCAAACTGAAGTTTGGGGAGATGAAATAAGTTGACCAAGAGTTCCACGACAAGTTTGAAGAAATGGGTCTGGCACATTTCTTGATCCCCAAGGTTTAGTGTGTTTTTCTTTACAGCTCAAATGAAGAGGTTGCATTTCCAAAAGGTATCTGCTTTAATTTCTAAGATCAAAATTACTTTAAAATGTGTTACTATCTGTAGTATTATTAATAAGTAGACAAGTGCTTCACACTATTAAAAATTTACTTCTAAAAAAAAAAATTTACTTCTAAGTTCCTGAATATATCTGGTTATAAAAGCTCTACTTAACAAAAAAAGAATACAGAGGATTTCTAAAATGGTATAGTGTTAATTTCTATTAAGATCAAAGCAGGGGGCCCTGGCTGGCTCAGTCGGTAGAGCATGTAACTTTTGATCTTGGGGTTGTGAGTACAAGCCCCACATTGGGTGCATATTACTTAAAAAAAAAAAAACTAAATCTTTAAAAAAAAAAAAGATCAAAGGAGAATCCAATTCCTGTTTAAAAGTTCAAGAGAACAATGTAAAGATTTAAGAAACTCACCTTTCAAGTTATCAAAGTGCACCCAAGAAGCAGACTCTGATTTTTTTGTTTCCTTAGGACTGTCAGACACAGTTTCTTCTGTCTCAGCTTTTTTTACTGTATCTGTTTCTTTATCTGCATCAGTGAATTTTTCTATGTCTTCATCATCTCCTATGTCGATAAAATTCTCTTCATCAGACTCCTAAAACAATGGTTTAATAAATCTGCATTAATCAACTGGAAGTCTGTATTCAGTTATGTGAGGGAGTTTTGAAGATGATCCTCTTATTGCTATAACGGTAAAACATGAAAATTCCATCAATCAAATTTATGAGACACCATATTCTTTTTTCTAAATGTAAGAATTAAGTTGAGCCACAACTCCCTGAGACTTTGGGACTTTTTTACATGAAAACATTCAGCCCTCAAATTTCTGATGTGTTATAAATAACCCTATGAAGTAGGTGCTACTATGTCCATTTCACAACTGAGGAAACAGGTTTAAGAGATCCACTAGCTCTGTAACTGTAACTACCTCATACAATTACGGTTTAGTATAGTACAGTTTACAACGAGTAAAGGGATCAAGCAACATGCCCACCCAGGAAAACTGTACACCTGGGACTAAAATTCAGGTCTGTCCAACTCCAGGACTCACACATGTTCATGCTCCAGAGAACTAAGTAAGTTACTGTCATTGAAGCTAAGAAGAAAAATACCAATATATTTCAGAACCCACTCGATTTAAAAAGCAGTTATAAGATATACCGGATGATCGTCTAGTTGACTTCTTAAGCCTGGTTTTGCTTTAAGGATCTCAGACACAAGGTATAAAGCTCCACATATGAATGGTGGCATCTGTTCACAAGTAACTTGGAGTAACCTCTTCACAAAAGCCTTCACCCTGCGCAACACGATGTCAGCTTTCAAAGATTTGTAGATAAGATTAAGAAACATAGCTTGCTTAGAACACATCATCAATCCTGGATCCAACATCTTCCTATAAAACAAAACCAAGATCAAATGTTTATTCATAAAATATCTCTACAACCAGTAGTAGAGGCAACTGCTAACCTCATCTTAGGGATAACCTTCCTGTTTATTTTAGATCAAGAGACCTAAGACGTAAAATGGAAGTCAATGACCCAAACAGAAAGAATGATGATCTTGGGGGAGGGTAGGAATATCAACAGGAGAAAGACATTTTTTGTGTGTTTTCTCTTTTCTAAGGGGTTTTTCATTCTCTAGGATAACAGCATAATTTTTATACAGATACAGAACCTCACACAAAAGGCTAATCCAAAACCAGATAATGAAAGCTGACCTATGAAAGCAGTGGACTAGACCGGTGTTCTTATCCTTGTATCACTACCCCCTAGCTGGGGGACCAGAGGCCTCCACATGATTCTAATGAACACACGTAGAGTAGAAAATTGAACATAATAATTTTAAAATTTTCTCTTTATCCTAGCTGCTAAATCCTAGAGATGCTCCAACTGCTCTTGCCCTCCAGACATTAGAATATCCAGAATTAACACAATCCTGTGTATGCTCATGTGCAATATTACTTCTTATTCTAAGCATTTCTATTAACTTTTTTCCATTAATATTAGAAATGGAAATATCTGACCCTGTGAAGCATTTTCATATTGCTCTTTCCCTCATTTGTTACTTCCATAATTCTGGTGATATTGAGATATCCTATATTATACAATTTTTTTTTTTTTAAAGATTTTATTTATGGGTTAACATACACATGAACTCAGTAAAGTGCCAGTTTTCTCATTTTTTAGCTATGTAACCTTGGGAAGTTTTATAATTGTAATAACCTACAGGATAGGTGCACTCCTCTTCATTTTATAGACAAACTGGGCCACAGTAAAATGGGATTAATCGTGTTTACCAATAGGGCTTTAAAGAGGATTCAGTAATTTGTCCAAAGTTACACAGCAAACTAATGGCTGGGACTCAAATCCAGGCACTGTGGCTTAAGTTCAAGATATTAATCAGTACATTATATTTCTCACAAGATACATGTTATGTAAAATTATTAAAATGAATTAAAGGAATATATAGCTTGTTGGTATACTTAAACAGTTCCAAAGTGTTTACACACTGTTCAAAATATCATCCCTCAATAAGTATGTCAGGACAACAGCAAAATTCAATGAACAAAATCTTAATCCCAATTAAAAAAATTCCAAAAATGCAACCCTAACCCTCCCTAACAGACTTTCGTTTACCATCTGTTTTCCTCAATATGAGTGTAAGCAACTCTAGGGGTGGGAATTTTGTTCAGTGCTAAGCCAAAGCACCTGGAAATGTCCAGCATATAGATGGCACTCAAAAAATTGCTGTTGAATGAATTACTAAATGGCTGTGTGAAGGACAGGGGGAGGAAATATAGGACTGAGGAGGTGAGTGAGGGGGAAGGGACTGAAGGAAACTTCAATTATATCTGCAGTTCTAATTTTTTAATATTCGAAAGATTTAAAACATATAGCAGAATGTTAAGGTTGAAATATTAGGTGGTAGGATATGGATGTTTTGGGGGAGGGTATTTTTCTGTATTTTAGCAAGTTCTCAGAACAAAAAATAAAATAATGTATGCAAAATATTTAACATAGTTTTCCAAGAGGAAAACAAAGATTAGTGACTTACTCAAAGTTGGTGACTAGCAAGTTGCTGAGGGGGGCCTAAAATCCAGTTTTCTAAGTTTCTTGCCCCATAGAGGGGCACAGTAAGTGCTGTGTATTAAATCACATTATTAAATCATGTTATTCCTCATTCACCTATTGAAATGGAATGTACTTACCTATATAATGCTGCATAGTATCGATCTGATATCGTCTGCTGAGAATTCATTACTTGGAAAAGCAACATTAAAGCCTGTACGCTGGTATTAAAATTCACAGCATGCAACACTTTAAAGAGCGTGTCGACCTGCTCCCTCACTTTGTCATCACCAGTCTGGGCGTAAGGGTATGCCCTATTTACTCCTGTTAAAAGGGCACTAAGCATTTTTGATTCAATATCTTTTTTCTTGATACAAGTCCGGAAAAAACAAAAATAAAGAGTAATTAACTTATTAGCTAATTCACTTTCTTCATGGGAAAGGACCATTTGATTTAAAAAGCAAACTGCATAATATTGCGCTTTGGAGCTGATATTTGAGCGAAAGAGCAGCCTTTCTACTTCGCCACATACAACTCCTTTCATATTGGGATGTTTACAAAGCAATGTCTCTAACAGATGGGAGGCCTTGGTGGCTATTCTGTTCTGAGGATCTCCCAGTTTATTTACCACCTGCACAAGAAGAGCCTTTTCTTCCTCAGGTTTGTTACAAAGAAGCTCATGAGCTACAACAAGAGCTCGAGTTTTAGTGGCTACTAATGAATCATGACTTAAAGTGTCTAAGACCTGCACAAATTCAGCCACAAGGTGTTTCAGCTGGTGTTCAAAATACCATAATATCAGCCTTCTATCTCTCGAGTCCTTGTTGCCACTGGACAACTGTTCTAGTTTGTTGAAGGGATGCTGGCTGAAAATCCATAGCTTCCGACTGTCTGGCAAAAGGTCTGTAATGAGTAATTCTTTGAAAGTATCCAAAGCCATGAGGCACTGCTGTTTGCTACCCTTCTTTTTAACAAGGTTCACAAGAGTTTCTACAAACTGCAGTGTGTGAACAGCATCATCCTGAATAAGAAGAATCATGGCTGCCATCCTGTCACCTAGCGTCCCTGATGACACAATTGTCTTCATCCAGGTGGAAGAAGCTCCCTTTTGGTTACTTGTCTTATTTTTGAATAAGTTGATTTCATGCTCATACAATTTCTGAGCCAAGGTTTTGTACTTAGACACAACATCCTGAGGCTGGGGTTCCAAAGAATATTCATTGCTGTACTCCAGATCATACCATTTGCCTCCAGGCTTGAGTAACAATGTCTGTCTCTCAAAAAATTCAAAGATGTCCTGTTGTTTATCTTTCTTAACTTTTGGTGTGACACTGTTGTTCTCATCAGAATGTTGTTCTGGCTTCTTATTTTTCACCTTACCGAGTGATGTCCTTTCACTTTCTGCTGCATTTTGCTTTTTATTATCTACTTTAGATACTCTTGCTTCTTTTTTGCTGGCATTTTCTTTTTCAGCTGGTTCATCTTCTTCAACTAAGAAAGCTTTTGCATACTTGGCCAAACTAAGATTTTGAATAAATGCTTCCAATTCACCTTGTTGAAGGTCATCGATTGCTCCTTTTTTGCCTCCATCCACCACTTCCTCATTTTCATCCAAAGTAGCCAGCATAAGGTAATCTTGCTGCATTAAAACATAAGAAAGTTAAAAAATAAATTACAAATACAAAGTTTAGAAAAACTTCCAAAGTTAATTTGAAATTTAGTATGTTTAAAAATCAATTAAATTCAATTATCATGGTATTGTCTGGGCTTCCACCCTACAACCAAGTAAATACTTGATGAATCAAAGATTTACATGTGAAAAAAAAAGTTGTAAAGGAAGAATGCACACCATAATTAAAATAATTTCAGAGTAGAGAAAACCTTTCCAAATGACATTAAACGCAGGCCCCTAAAGGCAAAGATGGGTAAAACTGTCATTCTCTCAGACAAAAAACATACAAAAGTCAAAAGACAAATAAATTGGAAAAAAAAATACTGGCAACTGATATCAGAGTAATTGGGCTTAATATTTAATGTAAAAGTTCCTACACATCAGTTAAGGAAGTGATAAGTGAAAGATCTGCAAAGGATATAAACAAATGGTTCATAAGGGGAAAGTGGCTTTTAAAAATGTGAAAAGATGCTCAACTTCACTGACATTAAGAAAAATCCAAATTAAAACCACCATGATGCATCCATTTTCTAATCTGTCAGATGAGAAAGATAAAATTGTGACAGGTGGTGTTGGGGAGATGGTAGGAGGAAAAGGCACTTTCCTACATGACTGATGGAAATGTAAACTAGCACAACCTCTATGGAGGGCAACTTGCTACCTTCAAATCAAAATACAAGACACACATCCTTTGATCCAGCAGTTCCATTTCTATCAATTTAGATTACATATATGTTCACAAATGTGGGAAAAGATCTATTTTAAAGGTTATTTACTGAAGCATTATTTAAAATAGCAAAGACTGACAACCTAAACATCCACAATAAATGGCTGGTTAGATTAAAACAATGATTTATGCAGGCATTAAACCAATGACCCAACTTTATATAATGATATGGAAGAATCTATAGGACAGCAAGAAAAAATATATACACAATATTATACAGTGTATTACCTTTTGTGTAAAAAATAACGTGTGTGTTTGAAGATATAAAAGACACATAAAAATACTTGCTTTGGCTAGTAATCGCATGGTTAGAGATAAAAGTGGGAAAGAAGACTTTTCACCAAGTACTCCTCCTTTTTAAAATAACTTTTTGTAGCACGTGAAATACTACCTATTCAAAAATTAAATACAACACAAGTACAGAGCAAACTGTGAATCTGCCCCGTAAATTGAATTTCTCCTGCCCCTACCTCTCTCCCCACCGATAGTCACAAAACATGTGCTAAAAAAGTAAGCTGAATTCCATCACGTATTTGCTCCAAATCTTCTAAGGTTTTGCATCAAACTCAGAGAAAGGCCTATATTCTTACCTCTCTGAGCTCATTTCTTATTACTCTCCCCTTACCTCACTCTGCCTCAGCTACACTGACGTTTTTGCTGCTCACAGAACAGCGTGGCTCCTTTCTTTCCTAGTTTTCTTCTCAAACATCTCTATGATGAGTTCCCCGATCACCTCATTTAAAACTGCTACGCCCTTCCCACTGATTATCTTTTCTTCTTCTTCTCCGTGGCACTACTCAGCATCTGATATACAATATTCAAAAGTTTGGTTACTGATTCTTTCCCTTAATTAGGACGTAAATTCCGAGAGCAGAGGGCTTCTAGAGCGTAAACATGTGCGTATACTCCGTGAGAACAGAGGTTAACATTCCAACAGCACTGAAGTTCAGAACACTGATGCCACGACGTCAGGACCCCAAAAGGTCAGTCTTCACCGACCTGGTGGAGTGCCAGTTATAGATCAGTGAAATGAGAGGGTCCCCTACATCCTAAGAAAGGCCACAGGGCAAAAACGTTCAATTCCAAAGGACTCTTCTCTTGTAAAAAGCTGTGGAAAAGAAGGGCGGGAAGCGCACAGCGCACATTTCGAAGCTGGGATCTGGAAGCAGAACGCCCTCCCACGCTGCCGCCCGGGGGTGGCCGGGCCACTCGCGAGACCGCCCCTCGCGCCTCTGTTCCCTTGTCCGCGAGTCCGAGGCCATTACCTTGGTGCCTCCGAGCCGTAACACTTCCTCCAGAGAGAACCCATTCTCGCCTTCATCGTTATCCTCCTCGTTGTCCTCGTCCGGATCTTCTACCGCCTCCTCTCCGCGCCAGGGCCGCTTGGCATGGAACTCCAAAGGCTTCTTAGCGGCCGCCATGACCAGCAAAGCACGCGCAAACGGCCCACAGCCTCCTTCCGTTTGGCTGAGTGACGTACTTCTGGCAGGGGCGTGTCCTCTCCCGGAAATGGCTTCACTGCCCGCCGCAGGTTCGGCATGAGCGTCCTTGCGAGGGGCGGCTTGGGGCCGCTGTGTGCGGCGGCCCGCGCGGGTAGGTGTTCGCCACGCCGGAGCTCCGGTTGTGCGGGAAGCCGCCTGGGGCGCCTTCCTCAGTTGGGGGCCCCTGAGGCGCTCCGAGCTGCAGACGAGTCCGGCCTCAGAGCCGGAGTGGCTGTGGCCGTGGGCGCTGTGCGTGCCTGCCGGCGCCTTGTGGCCGTGACTGCGGTCAGGCCAGGAGTCCGCTGTCCGTGCTTCGGGCGCGCTTAAGAGTCAACGCAGCAGCTTCGAAAGCACTCAGGCTGCTTGCGCTTGCAAATACTAAGATGTTTTCATGGTCCCGTTTACTTGTTTTTCGTAGGCACTCCCTGTCTTTGGAGAGGGAAATACTTCAGCTCCGGGAGAGAGCCGGCAGAAACCCAGGTGACACCAATGCTGCGGCATCTTATATACAAAATCAAGGCAACTGGCCCCCTCACTGTGGCTGAGTACATGAAGGAGGTCTTGACCAACCCTGCCAAGGTACGGGTGGGGAGCCCGAGGACCGGGCCCGCTCCAGCGGCTTTGCGAGGTGTGAGCCGGGAGGGGGGTGCGCGCAGAAGCCCGAGGGTCCTCAGCTCAGGCAGTGGTGCTGCCTTCTCCAGGGGAAGAGCCATCCCCCCGAAGACCTGGAGATAGCTAAATTAATGTCAGGTGGTTGGTTAGGGACGGATCAGGTCATGGCAGTGCCATGAAGAACGGAGAATAAATCCAAAGCTGTTCAGGAGGCAGTGTAACCGACTGAATTTAGGAAATGAGGGTCAGGATGTCTTTCCTATCTAGGCTGATGGTAGATGATAGTATCATTTCTCCGGGAAAGGGAAATGCAGAAGGACGAGGAGCAGCAGCTGCTTTGAGAGGGACGGGGAGGACAGAGTTCAGTCCGAAATAGGAATCTGAAGTGCAGATGGGACTCAGACGGAAATCTCCAGTAGGCATCTGGAAATATGAATTTAGTGCCTGGAGAGTTGACTGTGTTGGGATCGCATCAGCAAGCAATGGAAGCATGTTCTGGGTTTTCTTCTTGGGAATGGCAGGTCCGGGTCTCTACTGTTTGAGGATCAAGCACTGCCCTTGTTCTGTATCCTGGATTTCCTTGTCTGCTTAGCAGAGCCACTTGGTAAAAGCCTGTGGTCCTTTTATTTTAGAATGTTTTACCTTTTGTTGGGTCGAAATATGGTATCTGGATTTCTGGGGTTTGGCTTGTTGCTGTTGATGGTGTCCAGAGGTTTAATAAAGATAGGGATCCTTTCATACCTACTTTATGACAAACATCTCTGATAGAGTGAAGGTCCACTTATCATTTATTCATTTATTGAGGCTTCAGAAGTGCCAGACACTATCTCAGGCAGTGGGAATACTGCAGTGGACAGTGAAACATGGCACTTATGTACTAGGGAGGAAATGAACTATAAACAAGGAAACAGGGGCACCTAGGTGGCTCAGTCCTTAAGCGTCTGCCTGCGGCTCAGGTCAGGATCCCAGAGTCCTGGAATCAAACCCCACATCTGGCTCCCTGCTTAGCGGGAAGCCTGCGTCTCCCTCTCCCACTCCCCCTGCTTGTGCTCTCTCTCTCTCTCTCTCGCAAATAAATAAAATCTTTAGGAAAAAAAAAGAAAACAAACAAGATAATTGTAGATTATCTGTAAGTGCTTCTGAAGGAAAGGAAAGAAAAAAAAAAGGTTGATGGGATTGAAAATAAGTAGTACAGTGGGAGTAGGGGTTGGAAAAGTTCTCTAGGTAGGTAGGTGGCCAGGAAAGGCCAGATGGTTGAGCCAAGGCTTGAAGGTTGGGGTTGGGCCAGCCTGGTAAAGAACTGGGAGTGAGTTTCCAGTAGAGGAAGGGGAAATAAAGCTCAAAAGTTTTTGAGCTGGGAAATGCCTTGGCACATACAGAGAAGAGAAGGGCACTTGTATGGCTGGAGGGTGGTGACTGGGGTGGCAGGTTAATGGTGAGGAAAGTAGTATGAGAAGTTTGGAGAGGAGCCAGTTCATTCAAGGCTTTCATGGAATTTAGATTTTTGTGTTAGTGCAAGGGGAAACCATCAGCAGGTGCATTTTATGCATCTTGGTGATGACATCCAGGTGGAGACAGTAAGTGAGCATTTGGCTGTAAGAGTCTGGAGTTCTTGGGACACCTGGGTGGCTCAGTCGGTCAAGCGTCTGCCTTCAGCTCAGGTCATGATCCCAGGGTCCTGGGATCAAGTTACACATTGGGCTCCCTGCTCCGTGGGGAGCCTGCTTCTCCCTCTGCCCCTCCCCCTGCTTGTGCTCTCTCTCTCTCTCTCTGACAAATAAATAAAATCTTAAAAAAAAGTCTGGAGTTCTTGAGAAACATTGGATATACATATATAAATTTGTTCATCATCTGTGTATAGATGGTGTTTAAATCCAAGGAATCGGGGAGAGTATATTTAGAGAACAGGAGGTTACCCAGGATTAAGCCTTGAATTTAGAGTAGAGGCTTTTTTCCTTTTTTTTAAAATTTTTTCTTCTTTTCTTTTTTAAATCAGCCTTAATTTCTATTTTATTTAAAAATTGGTTTAACCTTTTTTTTCCTTAAAGATTCCATTTATTTATTTGACAGAGAGAGAGAGTGAGCGCACAAGCAGGGGGAGTGGCAGAGGGAGAGGGAGAAGCAGGCTCCCACTGAGCAGGGAGCCCGACCCGGGGTTTGATCTTAGGACCCTGGGATCATGACCTGAGCCGCAGGCAGACACTTAACTGACTGAGCCACCCAGCTGTCCCTTTTTAAACTTTTTTTAAATTGAAGTACAGTTGATAGGTTGTCAGCTTAGTTTCAGGTGTACAACATAGTGATTTTTGACAACTATATCTTATGCTAAACTCACCACGAGTAGCTACCATTTGAGAGTAGAGCTTCTTAACCTAGGAATCTTTGAATAGAAACCGGGGGGTTCTGAAGTTAGATGGGAATAAAAATTACACCTCTATTTGCATTAACTTTTTTTCCCACCATTTTTATTGAGAAAGAATTGGCATACATCATTATGTAAGTTTAAGGCATATAGCATGATGGCTTGATTTGCATATAATGAAGTCTGAGGGTTTTTTAACATTTTTTTTTAAAAAAGTTTTTATTTATTCATTTGAGAGAGAGAGAGACAGAGCACAAGCAGGGGGAGGCAGAGGGAGAGGGAAAAACAGACTCCCTGCAGAGCCAGAAGCCCAATGAGGGGCTCGATCCCAGGACCTGGAGATCATGACCTGAGCCGAAGTCAGATGCTTAACCATCTGAGCCACCCAGGTGCCCTCCCCCCGTTTTTTTTTTTTTTTTTAAGATTTTATTTATTTGACAGAGCACGCACAAGCAGGGGGAGCTGCAGCGGGAGAGGGAGAAGTGGGCTCCCCACTGAGCAGGGAGAGCCTTACCTGAGCTGAAGGCAGACACTTAAACCACTAAGCCACCCAGGCGCCCCTTGATTTGCATATATTGTGAAATGATTACCTCAGTGGGTTCAGTTAACATCCATCTTTTCATATAGATACAATAAGAAGAAAAAAAGAGGGAAAAAGTTTTTCTTGTGGTAAGAACTCAGGATTAACTAACTTTTCTGCGTATCATACATCCATGTTAGCAGTAGTCATCGTGTTGTATATCCCATCCGTACTAGTTATTATATAACTGGAAGTTTGTACCTTTTGCCCAACTTACTCCAATTCTCCCTCCCCCTACCCTCCGCATCTGGTAATCAAAAGTCCAATATCTTTTTCTATGAGTTTTGGTTATTTTATTTTATTTTAAAGATTTTATTTATCCATCAGAGAGAGAGTGAGAATGAGCAGGCGGAGGGGCAGAGAGAGAAGCAGACTCTTCCCTGAGCAGGGAGTGCCTGCCAGGTGCCCCGAGTTTTTGTTCTGTTTTTTTTTTTAAGATTCCACATATGAGTGAATCCTACAGTACTTGTCTTTCTCTGATTTCACTTAGCATAATGCCTTAAAGGTTCATCCATGTTGTCACAAAAGGCAGATTTCATTTTTTTATGCCTGAATAACATTCCATTGTGTGTGTATATATACCACAAATTTTTTCTCATTAAAAATAGATTATTTAAGTATATACATATATACATATACATACAATGTTATATTAGTTTCACGTGTGCAACATAGTGATTTGACAATTCTGTATACTCACTGCTTACCACAATAAGTGGTAGTCACCATCTGACACCATACAATGTTACAATATTATTGAATATGTTTTGTATGCTGTTCTTTTCATCTCTGTGACTTATTTATTTTGTAACTGGAAGTTCTTAAAATCCCCTTCACCTTAATTGCCATCCACCCATCCATTCACTTCCCCTTTGGCAACTACAAGTTGTTCTCTGTATTTAAGAGTCTGGGGTTTTGTTTGTTTGTTTTGTTTTTTTCAGATTCCACATGTAAGTGAGATCATATGGTATTTGTTTTTTTCCATCTGACTTATTTCACTTAGCATAATACCCTTTAGGTCCATCCACGTTGTCATAAATGGTAAGATTTATGAGTAATATTCCATTGGGGTGTGTGTGTGTGTGTATATATATATATATACCACATTTTTTTTTTAATACTACATCTTTATCCATTCATATATTGATAGACACTTGGGTTGCTTCCATATCTTGGCTATTGTAAATAATACTGCAGTAAACATAGGGTTGCATTTATCTTTTTGAATCAGTTTTTTCATTTTCTTTGGGTTAATATCCAGTAGTGGAATTACTAGACCATATGGTAGTTCTATTTTTAAATTTTTGAGGAACTTCCATACTGTTTTTCATAGTGGCTGCATCATTTATAGTCCCATGAACAGTACATAAGGGTTCCTTTTTTTCCACATCCTTGTCAATGCTGGTTATTTATTATCTGTTTTTATATTAATCATTCTGACTGGTAGGAGGTGACACTGTGGTTTTGATGTGCATTTCCCTGATGATTAGTGATGTTCAGAATCTTTTCATGTGTCTGTTGGGCATCTGAATGTCTTCTTTGGAAAAGTCTCTATTCAGTTCCTCTTTTTTTTTTTTTTAAGAGAGAGCATGGGCATGTGCTTGCAGTGGGGGGAAGTAAGGCAGAGGAAGAGGGAGTATCTTAAGCAGGCTCCAGTGTAGAGCCCAACATGGGGCTCAACACATGACCCTGAGATCATGACCTGAGCTGAAATCAAGAGCTGGACACTTAACCAACTGAACCACTCAGGCGCCCCCCTCTGCCCATTTTTTATTAGATTTTGGGGGGATTTTTTTGGTGATAAGTTGTATAAATTCTTTATATATTTTAGATATTAATGCCTTATCAGATATAACATTTGCAGATATCTTCTTCCATTCAGTAAGCTGCCTTTTTTTGTTGATGGTTTCCTTTGCTGTGCAAAAGCTTTTTCTTTTGTTGTAGTCCCAGTAGAATTTTTGCTTTTGTTTTCCTTGCCTAAGGAGACATATTTGTAAATATGTTGCTCAGGCTGATGTCCAGAAG